GCCTTGGCTCTATGTTTTCAAGCCCAGGGAAAAGAAGAAATGGTCACAACTTTTGAGGCTGGAACCTCATGGGGGCCATGCAGCCTGTGATGCATTCACATCTAAATGAAAAAGGAAGCACATCACTGTATACATTTTAAAACTCATACTCAGTCATAGCAAATTTATGGAGCTTTTGTTTTCATTTACTCTTATTCCAAAAATCAGAAACTATTTAACTCCATCTTTTTCCAGTCATTTTCCCCTGTTGAGTAAATATAAGACAGCAATTATTTTAAAGGTTCTGTGAATGTCCAGAGAATTTATATAATTCAGATGCTGCGACCAATAGTCTTTTCAAGTGGTTAGTTTTTGCACAATCAAAAGAACCGAGACCTCAAAAATAGAATTTGGCTTTATAATAAAACCAGTTAAAAACAAAATTATTCTGAACCCCATGAATAGGTTTCTGGTGATTATCTATGATGATTATCTATAAATAGTAGGCAGTCTGTATAAATGACTGTAATTAGGTAGTTACTGAGATGATTCATGTTTTTATTTACTTTTTATCTGTAAGCAGTATCAGTGTTTTCCCCCATGCCGATACAAACATCCACACAAACACATACATGTTAATAACTTCAAATCCCAAAGGCTCAAGTTCTTACTCCAGTAGTTGAGCTTGTTAGTTCTCCTTCCTCCTGTTGACCGCCTTCTGAGATATCCCCAAGCCACAAACCCAAATGTTCCCCCTTCTCAGCCCATTACAAGAACCAGGCCAATCCTTAACATTTTATCTGGAGTATCCTGCCTTCCGATTGAAACAGTCTGAGCCATACCTGCTGTATTTGAATGCTTCTCTCTAGGGGTCTTGACTTCCTCAGAAAGTTATCTGTTATCAGTGACTGCAAACTACCGAAACAGAACAAAACAGATGCTTTCTAGAGTTGAAAATTAACAGTTCAGACCCAGACAACATGGGCAATTGATGTGTTTTTCATCTTTCTTTTCAGGATGTTTACTGTGCTTACATTTATCTGGGTTTACTTCATTGACCATTTTGTCTCATTCTGTTAGTATATCTTCACGGTCTTTTTTTTTTTTTTTTTTTTAAATAACAACTACAAAGCAACCTCTACCTCCTGGCAACTGGAGTAAAGATCAGTACATAGAATGTATGAAATATGAATCTGGGAAAATTGGAAGTTGTCAAAAATGAAATGGAATACATAAACATCGATATCTTAGACATTAATGAGCTAAAA